TTAATAATGCTGTGTGCACGCTGCATTATTTTTAATAATGCTTTGTGCTATTTTAGCCCGTATAAACATTTACCCCTGGGAATTTCCCTACAATCAAAGAAGACCGCTCCCGTTTTTCAGAAGAACGCTAAAACTTCTCGACATTCGCTGATATAATTCAGAGAGAAAACAATAGGTTATTATGACCGTCAGTAATTATAAGTGTATATCCACATCGGGCAATCATGATTAATAGCTCGCCCGGTGTGGATATGCACTCAGAGTAACATCACAAACATCATATTTACCTGAGTACACAACACCAACATAGAAAAAAATCATGATTACTAGATTGCACTGATATCGAAGGAACTAGACTCAGTTCCAAAATATCACATACTCGAACCAACCTGACTGCGTAGCTCAATTTGCAGAGCATTGAGCTAGTATTCCAAAGGTCGTAGGTTCGATTCCCACTGTGGCCAGGCATATCTTTTAAGCTTGCCCGGTGTGAATATACACTCACGGCGCTTCCATTAATACGGCCAGACCGGTCAGAACGACCAAATTGTTGAATGGAACACAAAACGTTTGGCCGGAAAATTTAGATAAAATTAGAGTGAGGTCCATTTTCGCGAGATATTTGAGAAACATAGACCAGATCTTTCCATTGATCCAGAGACAAAAATTTGGGTCTGGCCACTAAATGGAAAGCGCCCTCAGAGTAACATCACAAGCATCATATTTACCTGAATACATAACACTTAAACCTGTTTTCCACTTCAATCGTATGGTAACGTACCGTAGCATTTTCTTTTGTGTCGAAGTCATTAGTTCCACAAGAAACAAAGAGATACGCTACGTTTCGGTGGTACGATACGGTTGAAGTGGAAAACTGGCTTAACACATAAAAAATAATAATTTTTAATTTGGATAGTGGGACTAAATTGTCGGGCTGGCTACGCCACTCTGGCTTTAACACCAGTACTTCATTACAATTTTTTACAAAACCCCAAAGCGAGATATAGTGCGCTGCCCTGGAACATGCTCAAAACAACACATTGGCAGTTACTTATATTTTTGAATAAATATAACTATCTATTTGCTGGAGGACGTGCTCCTATCTTTCGTCAGTCAAAAACGTGTTGTCACTTAGCATTGTTGTTCTGTCGCTCAGTTAGTTAGAGCGCAGCACAGGATTGCAGAGATGCAGGTTCTATTCCTGCCGGAGGACGTATAGTTTAATTTTTCGCAGCTGTTCCTGCTTAGGACTAATAAATGTACATAAAATTTACACTCGATAATTTCCATCTACAAAATCAATCAATTATTTTCAATTGAGTGCGATACCACAAAAATCTTGAAATTTTCCCAAATTTCTCTCTCTTTTCATACAAGTTCGTTGTCTTTCATGGACAGGATTGACGTATTTGGCTTCCAAATCTTTTAAAAAATATGCCCACAAGTATATAAAAAACAACAAAACAATTTACTCAGAAAACTCCAAGAAAGAAAGATCTATTTTTACGAAAGCCAGGGGTGTGCCGAAATTGTGGTGGTGATTGGTAATTGCCATGAGCTGGAGGAACCAATTGTCATGGAAATGGCATTAAAATACGCCATGTTTTTTTGCGACACATTTTTATGCCGAGCATGTCCGCCAGTAACATCTATATAGCTCATTACATGCCATACAAAATGCACAATAGCGCGAGTTGGCGTGAGCAATTCACCAGGTCTGGTCATACTGGAAGTTCTTTAATTCATATTCCCATTTTGTGAGGATTATTTTACTGTATGATTCCACGTTAGTACACAGCATTCTTCGTAACTTTTCAACACTGTGCTACGCTTACGTCATTACACAGTTCTTAATTCAGTTCTTATTGACCCAAAGTGTTTTGTATTTTTTCTGGGACTTTTTCTGGCAGTTTTAAAGGTTTTACAGCAGTGTGGGATTGTGTCAAAATTTTTGGCACAACCCCCGTATTGCTGTTTTAATTTTTAGGAATTTTTTTCGACGGGCATATCATTGTCGAGCTAGGATTTTATCGCTGGGTGGTAGGTCGGCGAGTGTTTTAACAGTATTCTACTGAAGACAAACAGTTTTGAAATATATTTTGAATTATTTCCGCAGACATTGACGAATGTTTTGATGGCAATCATACATGCGATGCGAATGCACAATGTAACAATACGGTTGGATCATACCTCTGTGAATGTCCCAGTGGATTCTTGGGAGATGGAAAAACATGCACAGGTATTTTATAACCGGAGATTGCTAAACATAAATTATTATCATTTTATTTTAGCCATTGGTGAACGTTCCACGAAAAGCTGTAAATGCGATGTTTATTTAAAATGTGAATGCATTGTTTGTTCGGATAAAGCATCCAATAGTGTTTCTCATTTGACATTTGCATCAATTGTCCAAGGAGGATTCTTTGCTCAGCATGTCTTAGAGAACTAATAAATTATTGGCTAATAGGCACATTTTAGTTTGAAGATCCTGGGAGTGAGTTTTGAGGAGCAAAAATTCAATATGGCGGCTAGTTAATTGAAAAAGTGGAGATTTGTACTTACGATTTCGCAAATTTTGTATACTTTTGTATTGCGTGCGGAAATTACTGCGACATTTGGGCCGAAAATGGTAGCAATTGTATTGTATCCTGAACCAAATTAAAGAGAATGTACACTTTAGACGTATTAAATAGAAAATATAGACCTGCAGCTGAAACAGAACACTCGAATTAAATCAAATTACACCAGGCTAGACACCAATTTCGAAACGTATGCTGAAACACGATTTTTTAAACGTATGCTTTTATTTACCATGGATCATAAAAATACTGGATAGGAACCTCACGCTTACGCATGATGGTTTCCTGGTGCTTTTAGCGTGTTGATAGCATTTCAACCTTGTTGAAAATTATGACATCACTAAATCCAAAATAATTGCACGTTTAGCAATAGTACTGCTTAGTATTTTAGTAAAAAAAGTAAGAATATCTATATATTTTGGGTCATCATCACGGAATACAGTTCAACTAGATCACGCGTCTGCTCGCGTCAGCTGTTTTCTATCCATTTTTTAACTGTCCATGCTATTACCAAAATAGGTACTAAAGGTAACACAATTCCTCTTCATTTAGTTTATGGCGAAATTTTAAATGCAACCACTTTACACATGCTTATTGTGGTTATACAGCTATTTCAATTAAGGTTGTCCACGAGCAAAGCGGAAAAGTCGAATACGAGCGCGAAAGGCTATTGGGAATCGCTTTGAAAATTAATTACTTGTTAGCGATCCCCAGCAGCCTTTCGCGCTCGTATTCGACTTTTCCGCTTTGCTCGTGGACAACCTTAATTGAAATAGCTGTATACGCCAGAATATGAATAGTACAGTACAGGACAATTCTCACTGTGAAAACGTACCTTAAAATGCAAACGGAAGGAAAAGAATAACATCAACTGAGGCCTCACTACATGTCACCCTGCATGAACCCTACCGTAAATGAACATCTGTCATCTGATGTCATCTAACAGAAATAACAGAAAAAATCAATTTGTTTTTATAGTTGTTCCATCTTCATTGAAAAGCAACAGCACGTTCTGCGATTTGTATAATTCGTCTTGCCACAACTGTTCCCAGCACATGGAATGTGCGTGGTGTTTCTCTGACAACTCCTGTTTTCCATGGCAAATGCGCAACCATCACGGGACATGCCACGAGGACAATTGGTGTCGTGGTGAATGTATAATACCGCATAGGAAATCGGAAGTGATGTTTTATGTTCTTCTTATGCTTGTTCTGTTTCTTCTTATTATTGTAATACTATTAGCCTCGCATTATTGCTGTCCTAGGACGCTAGAAAACAACGAGGACGAATCAGCGGCACAAAGCGTTGATTATGTACCAGATAGCTCGAAAGACGAAGCGAAACTGCGCAGAGGAACGCAGTTCATCACGACAGTAACAATACCAATGGGAAACGCGATAATGACCAAAGAGGCTATCCCATGGTCGTCGCGAACGGAGGAACTCAGAAAGAAGTATGAATTATTTGAGTAGGGACTTACGAATTCCATGCAAATAATAGGCAATGAGGTCAACAGGACCAGGCACACTATTTAACTATTTTACTGATTTAACATTTTTTATATTTGCTGACATTAAATCTTATATATTCTGCATAGCGAAATTTATTTGCAAAGACCGTATGAACATATGACACATATCAGCCACTGATCTAGTAATAGACTGGATATAGCTTTTATAGGTGTCAAAAGTAAAGCCAAATTATATATGCGAAAATCACTTCCTGCACTGTTATTTTCAGGGAGTTAAAATAACTCCCCTATTACTCCTTTTTAGTGGAGTTAAAATTTTAGGGCTACGTTAACCCCATTTCAGGAGTTAAAGTAACTCTCATTGAGGCGTAAGGGGATACGGGCGAACTAATTAGTATGCAAAATTAACTCTTGATGGTGGAGTTATTCATATATAACTCCATTTATTGGAGTTATTTGTAATAAAAGGCAAACAAAATGGCGTCGTGTTTTCGGCTTTTTTAATAGTTTTAACTCGCTCAGATTGCTTTCCTTTTTACTGCACTCAAGAAAAAAAACGTGAAAATTATACGGAAGGGAGGCGAGAACTGCATTATTCATGTTTCAGGTAAGTGAACATATTTTACTTCGTGTTTAATATAAATATTCAGATGAGAGGAGTGACATTTTTGCTCACAGCAGCTCAATGACGCAGTGTTTTATTACTGCAACTTATTTTTATTATTCTGTGGTGATGTGTTGTATCATATTAAATTTAAACATAGCAAGTACAAATTGTACACATTGTACTTGTCATACAGTACAATACAATCCACTATAAGTTAAAACAAGACATGACAGCTATGACAACACAAAATTCATTATATTTCATTACAGTACAACAAAGTATATAGTACAATTTTGCATCACGCAGTACATTACAGTACAATATGCCTGAAAGTACAGTGCACCAAAGGACAGTAAAGCACAATTTCGCATAGTTAAGATTACTGTAGCACAGTGAAGTACAGCCGAGTTTAAAACACATAAAAATTCAGTGCAGCACAATAGAGTTTGAGGTGATTGTTTGAGCTGGTTAACCCACATTAGTGTGCAATACCCTCCCTTGAAAAGTAAAATTGTCTGGAATTAGACAAAGTAAAATACCAAAGTAGGACGCCATGGGCCATGAAGTGTTTAACACAACCCCGCCATTGGCAGCCAATGTACTGTAGTGTTAGTAAATAGCACAGCATTAGTGCAACACATCACAAGTCTTATAACAGTCTTATATTGGATATAATTGAATGAATATGCCTCACTGCTCAAGACTGTAATTAGCACTGCAGAGCAGATAGAAGCACATGGCTAAGCATATAACACCACAACAAGAATAGAGAATGTTGCATGTACAGTACAGTACAGTACAGTACAGTACAGTACAGTACAGTACAGTATTATAGTGCTATACCACAATATAGTATCAAGACTCTAAGTAGCATCTCACTTGATTGAATAATATAGTTAAAGGGTTTTGTAGATGGCAATTATCAAGTGGAAATTTATATACATTTATTAGACATAACCAGGAATAGTTACAAAAAAATGCAACTATATCCCATTGAGTGGCAATCGATGCACCCTACTTTAGTATTTTATTCTGTTTAACGCCAGACAATTTTATTCGTCAAGGGGAGAGCGCTGGCGCTTAATGGGTTAACTGGCCTATCTGCCCATGTGTCTAGTTAACTGGCCTATCTGCCCATGTGTCTAGTTAACCCATTGAGTGGCGATGCACCCTACTTTAGTATTTTACTCTGTCTAACGCCAGACAATTTTACTTGTCAAGGGGAGAGCGCTGGCACTTAATGGGTTAACTGGTCTATCTGCCCATGTGTCTAGTTAACTGGCCTATCTGCCCATGTGTCTAGGTAACACATTGAGTGGCGATGCACCCTGATGCACCCTACTTTAGTATTTTACTCTGTCTAACGCCAGACGATTTTACTCGTCAAGGGGAGAGCGCTGGCACTTAATGGGTTAACTGGTCTATCTGCCCATGTGTCTAGTTAACTGGCCTATCTGCCCATGTGTCTAGTTAACCCATTGAGTGGCGATGCACCCTACTTTAGTATTTTACTCTGTCTAATGCCAGATGATTTTACTCATCAAGGGGAGAGCGCTGGCGCTTAATGGGATATAGTTGTCTGGCAAGAATCAAACCTGCGGCTCTGCTATTTCAGTGCAGTACTCTAGCCAACTGAGCTATATAACTCAGGCCAGTTGTTAAATAAGTTCATAATATTATATAGGTTACTGCCATATTAGGTTATTACTGTAGGTAGTACATATATATATATATATATATATATATATATATATATATATATATATATATTATATATTATATATATATATATATATATATATATATATATATATATATATATATATATATATTCTCCTGCCAGGGACCTATATTTGCATTTTTTGCAACTGCTCCTGTTTAAGTGTAATAAATATATATAAATTTCCACTGACATAGACCATATAATTTCCATTGACAAGACCCACAATATAGTATGTATGGCACGACAGTACAGTGTTGTACAACATTTCACACAGTAAAGCATGGCTCAACAATATGCACCATGCCATGCCTTACTGTAGTGTGTAGTACATACTGTATCTCTATATTGTACTTACTGGTTCCTAGCTGATACTTTTAATATTGTGTTCTGCCAAACTGTCCTGTACTATGCGGTTCTGTATTATATATATACTATATTGTGAGACCATGCATACTACATTATTTTGCCCTATACTGTATTGTGCCATATTCTGTTTTCTTCTGTTTTGTGGTGCCATCTGTGCGAGCCATACTATATATACTAGAGCATGCTTCTCTTCTTTATAATGTACTGTAATGTAATATTGTACTACTCTGCCATACTGGTATGTCTTGGGCTGTGGTACTGTACATTATAAAACAAAAGAATACAGAATGGCACAATAAAGTGTAGAGCAACACCACAATATATTAAATATACATGGCAACACAATATAGTATAATACAGCACCACACAGTAGTGTCAGAGTGAGTACACCAGTGCACCAATCAGTACTGCAGTATGTTGGCAGAACACAATATTGAAAGTATGCAACTAACCAGTCAATATAGACATATAGGATGCACTACACATTACAGTAAGGCACTGCACAGTGCAGTTTTTACAAAAGTAGCAGGTAGCACACTGTTATAGAACAGTATGATTGCAACAATATAAAAGCCAGATAGTAAACATGAATTAAGTATAATTGTATAAAAAAGCTTACAATGGGCAGTCAATAGGGCCCATTATCAAAAGATCGTATTATATCAAGAGTACTTACTTCCAGAGAGATTAAAATTGTGTCTCTCGCAGGTGATTTTTTGTCCAACTTGCTGCATATTTCGCCGTACACGGACATATCACAAAATATATGAAATCTACAAATCGTTTAGTTGTTTACATTTGCCAAGGAGACGCAAAGTGCCGGGGAATATTTCCCCGGTAGTTAGTTAGGAATCTGTCCAATTAGCATCCAGTAATCAACAAGAGTTCAATTTCCCGACCGGGATAAGTATTTTCCCGCTCTTTTCTTCAATTTTTTGTTGAGATTTTGTACTTCAGGTTTCAGCACAAAATTTTCTTGATTAAATGTGGATTTTTTACAGAAAAAAGGCCAGAAGAGTACCGGTGTTCTGGTTTAGAATATATATTTGAAGGTAAGGTTGTGTCTTATGGACTTTTATGTTATATTTTTGGTATATTGCATTCAATTTTTTTACAAACAAACCTGTGGCGGTTTCGCGTTTAAACAGGCTGAACACACGGCGACTGTCCAGGCTGTCAACATTTAAAATCCTTCTAGTGCAGATTGGAATAGTATTTCTTAATTCTTTTAAGACTGAAATGGACCTTCAGCAACTTTTACATGATGTGCCAGGCGAGTTTTTTCCAGAAGGAAGGCAGCCTTTCTTGAGAAAGACGGTTCAAAGACCAAGAGTCCAAGTATTATTGAAAATAGCAGTTTACCCCACTGTCAAATAAACCAGGACGAAATCTGCCCTGTTTTTCATAAAAATTAGCTTCTGTTTGTGTATAAAATTTATAAAATGCAATACATTTATAGTCAAAAGAGGACAACCTTTGAAACGTGATGAAGGTTTTATATTTTAGAATCTGATATAAGTTTTTTATATTATTCAGTAGAAGAAGAATTGGTCATAGCTTTCTTGGTAGTGATGGCTCGAGCTTCAAATAATAAGGTGAAAAACTATTATTTTTATTCACTGCAGAGTATGAGCTATGGTATCTAATATGGGGCCTGGATATGTATTCCCTTCCAAATTTTTCCTTTTTCCCCCACAAAGATTTCACCATGTTTCCTTGTTTTCCCAACTTTATGGTCCCTTGTTTTTTATCATTTTTTCTTCAAATTCTGATTGCAAAATATGCATTGTTCTCTGGTTTCCTAAAACCAGCCCTGGGAGACCCTCAGTACAGTCTCACAATTATTTGGTGTTAAGAATTTTAGGACCCAAAGGCAACTGACAATGGCTTCCTCTTCATATTTCCATTTCAGAACCATGAAAAACTAGTTTGATATAAATATTATAATATGAAATAAGTTCCTCTATGAACATTGCCAGGTTTTTGCAGCTATGAATACTCCAGTCACAACTTAGAAAACTAATAGTAAAATTTGTCTTAGACGTAATACAAGCTTCACATTTGCCATGTGGTAAATGCTTATTATTTTATATTGTAGGTTGATACTAGCATGCCAAGACACTAGGAAAAGAATCATAGCCTGGATAT